TACCAGTGCCATGTACCTGATGAGACGAGGGTGACGATCAAACACCGAAGTGTGAGTTTATTTAAACCTAACCTTATGGCCAAGTCTGAATCTATCCAAATGATTAAGATTGTGTAGATGACCATACTAAAGCATGATACCAAGCCTAAAGCGCCACAAATCTACCAATGTTCCATCACCATTTTTATAGATTGAATTTAAGCCATCACTGCTACCACCAGAAATCACTAATTGACCCTAAACATGATGCAAGATGAAGCCTAAATCCAAAACTTCTAGATCCTCCCACGGATGTGGTGAATAATCGTGTTGCTCAGCTCAAAATATACATAGAGTCAATTTCTCCATGGCAACCACACTGGTCTTTGTCTTCAAGCTCTTCAAACAATAGTTTATTTTGTCTTTGATGAAATCATGCACATACCTTTTCAAGAAGTGGATTCATAATAATAATAAAAAAAACAGCATTTGTTATATTTATGCTTAGTTCTTAATTAATTCATCATACTGCTTCCTGTTAAGAAAGTATCAATGCTTTAATGTAACGTGAAAATTTTAGCCTTTATGTGCAAAAGGCTCTGGCCATATATTCAAAAATATTAGTAATTATTGAATGAATGATTGACTAAAATATATGCATTACAAGCATTTCTCATTCCCTGGGCTGCTCGCAACACTTCAATACCGACAGCTTGATTTTAAGTTTGGGTCAATCACAAGTTGACAGGTTGATTTTTAGTTAATTTTGGTTTAACTGGTCTGTCTTGGGTTGGGGGTCAACCCAAATCCGACCCAAAAAATTAAACTGTTTAGAATTCCTAACCCGAATCCAACCAAAAAATTATTAGGGCTAACTCGAACCCAAATTTTCTAGTCAAATTCGGGTCGTGTTGACATGTCGGGTAAATTTTTGACACTCCTATGATTTATTAAAGCATGATGAGAAAGGCCCCATCAAATGATGAATTTAAATTAACATAAATAAAGTTCGATAAAAAATTATATAGGTTGGTGTGTAAAAATCGGATTGGTGTGTCCACCCGAAACAACCCAAAAATTAAACAGGTTAGAACTTTCAACTCGAGACTGACCATAAAGTTAATCGAGTCAAAGTGAACCCGAAATCTCCATTTCAGAGTAATGTTGGGTTGTCATTTCATATCATTTAATGACATCCTTAAATCTAAGAAGGTACACTAGCTGTCAATTTTTATCTTCCAGAAAACAAGAGCATTATTCTCATTCCTAATTCGTTGACCTTCCTATTGGTTCTACAAATTTGAACTTTTCAAGCAATATCTCTAGCAACAAAGGTCCTTCCTAAAATAAAATCCCTGGGTTCTATGCTAATCATCTTCGTTAACTAATGCTGTGCAGAAAGCATCACAAAGCTAAAAATTGTCCTGTCCTATAAAGTTCTACAAGGACCAAGATTGTCTTCCAGCAGACAAATAATTACACGACTCGCCTGAAAGAATAGCGAAAATAATAAAAAATAGGGTCCTTTACATACATAGCACATAATTCTTATGTATTTACATAAATCATACATAAGCTTTCATATTTACACACATAGCACTCAATTCTTCAATATCAATCAAAAATAGAACTATTATCGCTTTTTAAAAGTGAATTATACCTTTTCATGCATAGGTTTCACTTACATACATAGCACACAATTGTTATGCATTTACATATCTCGTACATAAACTTTCATATCTACACGCATATCACTCAATTCTTCATATACCCTTTCATGCATAGGTTTAAAGCATGCTATGGATCTAAATATGAAAGTTTAGGCGTGACATATGTAAATACATAAGAATTGTGTGGTACGTATGTAAATTTCCCTAAATAATATTTGAAAAAGCAAAGTAAAGGTGCATAACAAAATAAGAACCTGTAAAAAGGAGGGGAATATGGAAAACTTATTGATCAGCATTAAGATTCGATGAAACTTGCCATTGTTTGGGATAAACAAGATGTTTAGCTTCTAAATGAAGATGCCAATTCATGATTTTTGAGCAAAAATGAGGCAAACCTTCCATTTGAGTTTCATCTTCAACTAACTGCTCTATAAATGTTGTTTCCTGCAGTGAAAAGATGACGGTAAAGTAGACATTAGATGGCAAATCAAGAGGATAAAAGAGATACTGTAACACCAAATTTTCTATTTTGAAAGCATAAAAGTATGAGCTGAAAATGGAGATTTGGGTGGCTCTGAACCAGAATTTAATTAAAAAATAACATCAAAATAAAAAAGAACAAGAAAAAGAAATTATATTGAAGATTACAATATTCTGATATTCATGAATATAAATGACATGCATGTCCATTGCAGCACTGTTAACTTGATTACTAAAAGAAATAAAGCTCTATGCATAACATAATATCATACAACTTGTATTAAAAAATAAAAACAATTATTGAGTTCTCAACACAATTTAAACCAAAAAATTATCTAGGAAATTGATTAGAGGGGTATCAAAATTGCATCAAAACAATAATTGTTCAAGTAAATAGTTTTTCCATTTTAAGAAACTTGTTATACTTCAATTTAAAGAAACAAGTAGTTATGTAGCATCAATCTCATAGTCCATATTTATCATCATCCACACGCAAGCATTTGCATGATTTGTGTTGTCAAAGAGTAAAATTTGAAAATTAAATAAAATTTGCTCGAATTGAAAAGAATGGAATACTTTACGTTTACTACAAGTAGTACATGAATTATCACATATAAACTTATCACACCAGTGCAGTTCTTTATAGTACCCACTATCAATAGTTCACAATCTCATCAAACTAGTAGCACTTTTAAAAAAAGACCCGAAGAACCATCTGTCAAAAAAAAAAAAGGAATCAGAGAAAGAATTCAAGTTATTAGTGATTGGTTCATAAAAAAAGCCTAGTTAAACAAATTGATGACTAGACTAATAATAGAACTTCTCAAAATTTTCAACTTAAAAGCATTTTTCGCAATACGTTGTATGATTTTACTAACATGCCTTTCTAATAGTTAGTTTCTTAACGAACTCCTGAGGACAGATTTTGGAATTTAGACGGACCATTACTTCATCAATCTTATTCACAATAATAGTTAGTTTATTATTGTTATGGTTAATTGTCAACTTCCTATGAATATCTTTATGAAAACTATGTATATGTTGTGCAAATTTATTAAACCTAGAATTGACAGAAGGTTCAATAAGATCGACAAGTTTTGTAGGTTACCCTCTAACTATTTCTAAAGAATTTATACATATAAATCTATAGACAAATGAATTGTATGCAAATTCAATCTTTGATAATATGAAAGACAATTAGATGCATGCATTCTAATCATATATCACAAAGAAAAAACGAAGTTATCAACTAACTCAACTTTTTTACTAGTTTGTGTAATAAGCCGTTGAAAATTCTAATTAAATTCTCATATTTTTCATAAAGGTTTTTAAAAAAATTGATGAATTTCACATATCTATCAAACACAATATTTTTTAAGTCAACAATACAAGTTAAAAACTTCATTATGATATAATTTTCCTATAGCATGAAATAAAATAAGCCAAGTAAAAAAAAAAAATCAAAGCAAATAAAATCATTCCCAACAGTTTATGACAATCCTAGCACAAGGCTCATATAAAAGTGTGTACTAAGCACTAATACTTTATTTTGATTTGGACATTTAATGAGCTCAAGATTGTGAAGTAAGTGTCACATCTCCGTTTCAGTTATAGCTACAGTTTTATCCTAACCAAAGTGTCCCATAACATCACTAGCAGTCAATTTCAGAACAACAAATCTCTTACAGATGAATCAAGCATGCAAAAATGAGTTCCAATAAAGCCAACCATTTTTAATCATTCAATTTTGTTTGAAGCTCGGATAAGCATTATTTAAGACCTGAAATTTAATTAAAATCATTAAATGTGTTTTATTATACATCAGTCTGATCAATATTAATCAATTTAACTTTCATTGCATGCTAAATATTAGCATTTAAGCTCAATGCATCAACAAGCTTACTCTTTACACTAGCATAGTGTTTCAATACAAAATTGATTTAACAACATCAATTTTACATAAATATAACTTAATTTGTTTTGGGAATTCAAATATTTTAATACTAGATGATTATCATATAAGACACTCTTCAAGCAAAAATATAATATCTCCAGTATTTGGCTTCTTGCATAATAGTACAAAACCCTCCATCATAATTTGAATATTTTTGTTTAATCTCATTCCATTTTTCACTAAAATAAGCAATCAAATGCTATACTTGACATAAAACTTCTCTAATACCTATACCTGATTCAATATAAGGAACCTCAAACACTTTATTAAAAATTAAAAAAGAAATCAGATTAAGCATGTGTGCACTTATAAGCCCCTCAATAATCTTAAAAGCGCAATTAGTTAATTTTGTCCATTTAAATTCTCTTTTATTAAGACAATTAGTAATTGGTGTTATTATGGCACTAAAACCTTTGTGAATGTCTACAAAATATAGCCAAATCATGAGAGCTCAAATCTCATGAACACTGCTGTGTTGACCAATTACTTTGACTTTGCTACGATCAATAGATGGTTCATCAGCCGACACAACAAAGTCTAAGTATATCAAGAAAAACTCAAAGCACATTTTTTTTAATCAAGATGTTAATTTCTCAGTCTGCAATACTATGAAGTTTAAGGCAACATAACCATGAAGGCTACAAAATAAGAAAATTAGGTGGAACCAAATACTTGATATAGTGAAGGCTTGTGAGTACCAGACAACTCAATGACGAAGATTGTGGCTAATAGAAATTCTAAGAAAAAATCAAAAGCAATATAACATGGAAAAAAACTAGAGAGAGTTGGTAATTTTCATTTCACAATTTGTCCATTAATTATACAATAATAGGAGAGCTTCTAGTCGGAAATATAAAAAATCAAGGACTAAAATTTGGCCATACAAATAATTACAATAAATCTGTCCATACTGATTGTTGAGGAAGCTTCTATGAGAATACAGATCGATGAGGAAGCAATACACAGGGCAGATGTATTAGTGTGTTGACTGTGAGTTGAACTAGGAGGGGGCAAGTAATGGAGCATGGCTAGGAGGTGTATCCGAGGTTTGATATTTATCAAAGAAATAGAAATGTTTCCACAACTTCAACATCAAAAAGAACTAGTAATTGAACTAAAAGCCCAAAAGTCGAGCAATTATAATCTGGTGTGAGACCAAATGACTCCAAAGAATGAATGGCTGATGAGTACCCAAGGCAAGTCCAAGACCGAGAACAAAAACCCGTACTCAATAGAAATCATCTTAGTCATGATTACACCAACAAAGTAATATAAATTTTGAAAACTCTGAAATAAAAAATAGTAATAATAAAATCATTGTTAACATTACAAGTTGCTTATCACAAGGCTCACAACTTTCATTTCCGATAATTATTAGATTTGAGAATTGCATCAACAAGATGGCATTTTATGTGTGACATGAGGCTGAAAGAAAAATTAACAATTAAGCTAGAAAGCCACATTTCCAGTGTCAAAGCTTTCTTTTGAGAAGGGTGAAATATCAAACTAGATTGGTATGACTTTATAATAGCCTAGTATAACCTGATTCAAGCCATTCTAATAGTACTTTTATTGTGAATTGTATTGTTTTGTGTAATTCATTATTATGTATGTCCAGCTAGAACACATTAGAATACATTGCATTTGTTTCAATAAAATCTACTTCTATTAATTTTCTTGAAGTAAAAAAACTTAAGGAAACAAGCATGAGCCATAGAATCCATGATTTAAAATCAACGTTACTTGATATAAATCCATCTTCAGAAGCAAACCAATCTGGTCAAAAATTGCAGAGTCCTAAGCTCTTCAATATCATAAATTCACAAGCAACTAGCCCATCTAAAGCCAGATAATGGAGGCCAATCCAATCTTAAGCCATAGCCGAACCTCTTAAAGATCAAATTTTCTTCAGCCCTCCAGTATACTAATCTGACAACTTCTTAATGATCATGGCTTCTTTTGTTTCTAAAATCAGTGGAAGTATATATTTTACCCAGAGGGGAGAGGAGGAGAAGGGTTTGAAAATCATTGTTCTCCTCTTTGCCATAAAGCAGAACCTTTTGCTCCTGTTTCAGCCCTATTTAAGGCAAAAAACAAAATAAAATGTCAGAGAATAGCAAGCCAACTAGGGGTTTCCGATTTAAGATTAAGGACTTTACATTCAAGTTGACTAGATTCACCCTCTTAAATAATGATAGCAAATATCTTAAATAAGAACATATACAACAAGCTAACATTAAAGGAATTCTCTAAAAGACATTTTCTTCGTTGTCTTCATTATCAACCATTTTTACTCTCCTGCGCTTTTAAATATTCATTTTTAAATAGGAGATAAAAAAGAAAAGAAAAGAAAAAGTATGTAGCAGCAAATTAAACTTCAGAAATACAGAAGACATACTTGAAACCCTTCTCTCACTGTATCCAGTTGCCTGGCTGAATTTGAAGCTCCCAAATACCATCTCTTCGGATCCCATATTATCGTACTATCGAATGCAAACCCAGACATATCCACATGAAACCTTCTTAGTCTTTTGCTCTTTTCATTAGTATGCCACCCAATAACTCGGCTTCCATTGCATACCGGGCCTTCAAGTATTGCGCTGTTTTTACTCTGAGCAAGCATTGCGACAGGCCAAATTCCAAATCTCCTGCACGTACCGTACACATCAGTTCTACACAAGAAAAGAGAATCTATCGAAGAATAAAATAAAATAAAATAAGTAAAATTCATTAAAATAGCTCGTCATTTGTTAAAACTTTAAGATTCACATGGAAAAATTATAGAGAGGAACCTTAGAAGTCTACTAACAGTATAATAAGAGCTTAAGGGCCCAGTTCTCTAATGAGTAGGAAAATGTTGGAAAAAATAAATTTCATAGTTGATGCACTCTATTGGATAACATGAACATTACACGCTCATTCCTCTGGATTAGATTGATAAAATAAATTGTTAGGAATGAATAAAGTTTCTAAAATCCGTCGAGTCTAAACCAGCTTAACTCAACAAAAATAGAAGTAGCCCATAGCCTTGAGTTGGCTATTAATCCGAGTCACCTAGAATTGAGGCTCAACAAATTTCCTAGCCCTAGTCAGAATATAAAACTCAAACATTGGATTCATGCAAGGGACTCGAGCAGTTGTTTGCTTAATAAGCAAACTTCACATCCTTGCCTAGGCTATTCAGTCACTGAGTACAAGCTCTCACTAGGACAACACACCAAGGGTACTCAGCCTTTTATTGGAAATAGCTTATGGTTGCCACCTAGCAAGCAACTGGCAGCCTAGTTTACTCGCTACAAGCATGGCTATACTAAAATAATTGATGCACTTATTTATTTATTTATTTTAGCCTATCATGTAACATGATATTGGACCATAGTGATAAATAGGAGGTCAGGGCTTCTGGACACTTCATGCTATGAACCGAATGTGCATTTTTCTGACAAAATCATTGTCCATGGGATTTCTCAAAATTTCTGTCTACAATTTTAAAAAATCTAATAAACAAAGAAATTATATAATCAATAATTTGAGAATGGAAGACATTGGATAACATTGGATCCACCATCCTCTAATTTGATGCGAAGTCATGATGCAACTCAACGGATAACATTGGATCCAGCATCCTGAAAGTAGAGCATGGATGATACCAAAGATTAGAAACAAGCCATTAATCGAACCGTAAAGCATTCCTTACTAACCAACCTTAATAATGATGAATTTGTCACCTCTGAGAAGCCCCAAAACATTGAGAATTTTCTTACTTAGATGATCCAATAAATTCTAGAGAGATTCCCTTGAGCAGCCCCTACTATTTAACACCAATAGTGTGGCACAATTGCCTCTGCTGGGCCGCTAAACCTCCCTGTGAGTTGTGTCAGCACTTTTCCATGATAGATTAAGCTAAATCAAGAATATAAAAAAACTCATTATTCTAACTTGGCAAACAACTAGCTTAACTCACTGATATTTTTTAAATTGAGATTGTTGAAGCTCAGCCTACTGCCATATTCAAGATGTTGATTCTAAACTCTTTCATGGCAACATCAAACTCGATTGACCATATTGCTTGCTCCAAGTCTACCATTCTCTGTTTATTATTCATGATATTATGAAGTGTCTCTTGCTCTTTATTATTTTTAATGAGACACCACTATGGTAGTTCCCACAACTCTTGTCGAGTAGAATCACTGAATATACTAATTTCATTAGTGTGCAATGGCTGCTAAGGAATTCTTACACTAACAATAATATAAGAGATGAGTGAGAAGAACAGCAGTTTGTGACTTGGTTTAGCTGGAGAAAGTAGATAATCAAGATTTGGAGCCCATTATAGCCTAGGCGGCTCTTGCTGGGAGACTCCAAAAAGATCCTTCTTGACATGAACTTGACCTCGCCAAGTTATCAAGCTCATTAACTCCTACACCATTGTTGAAGGGTTAAATTGCGTGATTTCAATTTGAGCTTCTATGTTGTGGTCCTATCTAGGATAATTGGTGATAACTTCCAGATTATGAGAATAAGTTGCATAATCACATGGATAGGTTGACCAAGCAGCCAAACGATTATTGTCCATAGCAAATAGAATTGTGGTCCTCTCACCATAAGAGGCATAAACAAGATGTTTGACTTGTGACTTTGTGAAATGGGGGGTCCTCTTAACCAACCAGATGTCAAACTTATACTCCAGTATGAAAGTCGTTTATGAAGATTGTTGGCACAAATTGTGATAAGGAGTATGTACATCTACCAATGCCATGTATCTAGAACCGAATACCCATGATATCTCCAAATATTGTATTTTCCACAAGGATCATGACCATAATGCAAAAGCTAATCACCACCATCAAATGCTAGTTGAGCAGTTAAATCACATAAGCAAGCAAAAAAAAGTTGTTCATATTAACCCATGATGACAACAAGCAATATGGCTGCAAATGACATGAGCTTTCGAAAAGCTACACATGACTAGGCTCGATTAGAGATCTTTTATCTTCGTCTAATTAGTAATCAAACAAGTTTGAACACCTTTTTAAATACTCAATTATTAAATGAACCAATATGAACATATTGTTGCTCGATTCGTTTATGATCATGAACAAGATCGTTTAAAGCTTGTGAACAAACTCGATAAAATGCTCGATTAAAACTTACTAATGATTTAAAATCTAATATAAATTATAAAAAGAATTATAATTTAATTTAAGTTAACAAGATTAGAATGAATTTAACATTAAATTACATTTTATAATATTAACAAAAACATAAATAAAAGATTAATTAAAAAATTAAAAAAAATAATTCCATATTTTAATGTGAAACTTTACATTAAATATAATTTAATGAAATTATAATTTTTTTTGTGAACCTCACAATAATTACAAAAAAAAATTATTAAAAAAAACAAAAAATAAATATATACATAAATTAATAAATAAATATATAAATCTTCAGACTAATTATAATTTATCCTCATTTTTTTCTATTTTGTTTCGATCAAGTATCATAAACAATAGAGATTTTTTTAATACGATAGAGAGTATACAAAACTATTTAAAAAATAATAATAATAATACAATCACGTTAAAACTTAAAAGGACAACTCAAATTATTGAGGGGAGAGCTTAACAAATAAAAAAAGCCAATAGTGTCACCATTTAATGTGATTCTGTGAAACTTTTACAGAAAAATATTTAGTCTCACATTGGAATTGGAATTACTATTATTTTTGTTTAAATTAAAAGACATAGCAAACACAAATGAGTGTTTCTAGCAATTTGTAGGCATAAAGCCTATGAGAGTTATCTTTATGATCGATCTTATTAAAAGAGTAAAAAAAATTTAAAATAAAATTTTAATTTCCAAATTTAATTGAATTATTTTGATTTATTAAGATTCAATAATTTAGTATTTATACAGATTTAATGAGTTCAGGTTTGCCTAAAAGAACATTTATAGTAACTTAATCAACTCGAGTTGGCGATCAACTCGATTTGATGCTTTGATAAAGCTAAATGAGATGCTCAATTAAAAAACACATGCTTGATTTAATAAAGCTAAACGAACTGTTCGCCTAAAGGCCAAAATTGAGTTTGAGCATAGCTCAAATTGAAATTCAATATTAATAAATTAAAATGAGTAGAATTTGAATAGTGACTAAAAAGCTTGAATCGAGTTAGAGTCATGTTTAAACAAACTTTTATTAAACGAGCTTGCGTATGAACAGGCTCCTACTCGGCTCAACTCGATTCGTTTGTAGCCCTAACAAGCAAGTCGCCAAAAAAAAGAACAAACAAGAATGTTAAAGCATAAGAGATTCACGTTATAAGGATCGTATTAGCCATCTTTAGTTGAGTTAGGGCAAAACCATCAAGTTAGGCTAGTCTTGAGCAACTAAGATAAGTAGAGTTATGCTCCCCATAACCTTCATTGATGTCAATAGGCCATCAATTGGCAACCCTTAAAATGATTTTATGGTCTCCAACACTCTCATTGCCAAAATGATGGTATAGTCTTCAACACTCTCATTGCAAGTTAACCAAGGCTGCAAATAGATTGAGTTGAGTCGAGTAGAAGCCTGTTTTAAACTAGAGCGAGTTTACTAAAAACTTGTTCAAATTAGGCTTGAGCTCAATTTATGTTTTTGAGTCACTCTTCAAACTAGGTTCATTTTGCTTCATTAATGTTCACCTTCGATTTAAACTCTGCTCAATATTGATTTTAATGTCTTTAATCTAGCCACTCCTTTAGCCTTATCAAACTAAGGGTTTGTTTAGCGCGCCTAAATTCGTGTGGCGCGACAATGGACTGCGTTGTGTCTTTTGATTTTCGCGTCGCGGCGGCATTTTAAAATAATTCGTTAAAACACAGCCACAGGTTCGACCGCGGTCTGCATTTCTTCTTTCTCGGTAACAGGTTCAATTACCCCGCGGCCCCTCTTCTCATCTCTCTCGACCCCGCTCCCTCTCCCGCGATTCTTCTGCCCTAGGTAACTCTCTCGTGGATTCGTGGCTCTAGTTGTTGGGCATTGTTTACGGTTGGCTATTTTCGGTTGAGAGTTGTTTTTTCTGGTGACCCTTACATTCTTCTCCATCTCCCCTCTTTTATTCCGCTCGAATTTTGGTGGTTTGTGCACTCTGTGCTCTATGTGATGGAGGAAGTCCTTCGGTTTGGTAGATCACTTTCTTCGGTTGATGGTTATTGCGTTGAGGTTTGTATTCTCTCTTCCCCTATCCCTTCTCTTCTTCGGCTCAATTTGGTGGTGGTGTGCATGATTGGCTCGGTGTGGTGTTTCCTCTTCTACATGTCTTGTTCTTTACCTCTTTCCTCTATTCTCTGTGTGGTTGTGCGCATTATGTTGGTTGATTTCATCTTTGTTTTCTCGGTTTTGGTGCTTTCGATTTGATTTGCTTGGTTATGCGGCTTTGATACTTCATGTTGTATCCATATGGGTTTTCATTCATATATTTCACACAAAATTGGATGCATCCGAGCTTCGCGGTGATCTTTGGTTTTTTTGGTGCTTATCCTATTAGGACTGCTTCGGGTGCCCTATATGTGGTTTGTTCGATTTCATTTGGTGCTTTTACTGTGGGGAATTTGGATTTCTTTATGAACTTTGATATTTCAGTAGGGAATATGAAAAATAGATGAAATTTTGTGTTTGATTTATTAATAGCAATATTTTAAGTGTTGTGTATGTGTTGAATATGGGCTGAAAACATGAATTTTGAGTTTCAGTGGAAATTTCATGCTAGATTTGTATCTTGTTATTTTCAATTTCACTAGAATTTTAGTGGAAAAACTGGATGTATACTTATATTTTCAGTGGGAATTTCAGTGGGCATTTCACTAGAATTCCATGTTAGATTTGTATATCATTGAAATAATGGGAATTTGGTGCTGGATTTTCATATTGCTATTTTTAATTCCAGTGGAGGTGGTGGTGTAGGAGAGTTGGTGAGGTGTGGACATGGTGGTGTGTAGTGTGGAGGTGGTGGTGAAGGATGGTTGTGTGATGAGGAGGCGGTGGTGTGGTTTGTGGATGTGTTGGTGTGTGGTGTGGAGGTGGTGGCGTTGTTTGTAGATGTGTTGGTGTGTGGTGTGGAGGTGGAGGTGTCGGGTGGTTGTGTGGTGTGGAGGTGGTAGTGAGTGGATGTGTTGGTGTGGTGTGGAGATAGTGGTGTGTGGATGTGGAGGTAGTGGTTTAGTTTGGTTGTGTAATGAGGAGGTGGAGGTGTGGTTTGTGAATGTGTTGTTGTGTGGTGTGGAGTTGGTGGTTTGGTGTGTAGATGTGTTGGTGTGGATGTGCTGGTGTGGTGTTGTGAAGGTGGTGGTGTCGGGTGGTTGTGTGTTATGACGGTGGTGGTGGTGGTGGTGGTGGTGGTGGTGTAGGAGAGTTGGTGTAGTGTGGAGGTGGTAGTGAGTGGATGTGTTGGTGTGGTGTGGAGGTGGAGGTGTCGAGTGGTTGTGTGGTGTGGAGGTGGTAGTGAGAGGATGTGTTCGTGTGGTGTGGAGATAGTGGTGTGTGGATGTGGAGGTGGTGGTTTAGTTTGGTTGTGTAATGAGGAGGTGGAGGTGTGGTTTGTGAATGTGTTGTTGTGTGGTGTGGAGTTGGTGGTTTGGTGTGTAGATGTGTTGGTGTGGATGTGCTGGTGTGGTGTTGTGAAGGTGGTGGTGTCGGGTGGTTGTGTGTTATGACGGTGGTGGTGGTGGTGGTGGTGGTGGTGTAGGAGAGTTGGTGTAGTGTGGAGGTGGTAGTGAGTGGATGGGTTGGGGGGGTGGGGGGGGGGGGGGGTGTGGATGTGGTGGTGAGGTGTGTGGATGTGGTGGTTGTAGACTTCAAAGACAAAGGAGGATCCTATAGTACTCATATCGCTACTTGTTGCAACTGCCTCTGAAGGAGCAGCCATTGAGTCAATGAAACACATCTAAAAAGATCGTCTATTATGGACCTCGAACTTGATAAGGGTGTTATCAACAACAACCTTAGACTTGCTCAAGATCTCCTTGATGGTGACTTCTGCATTAACTTTTTTGACCTTGCCAAAGATTTTTTCCTACTACAACTTTCTGCAAGTCAAAAGTCCCCTTGTCAGCCACCATGCCTAATGTTATGGCTTGCTCAATTTGACCTTCTTCTAAGCATGTTCCAATCTAGCAGCCGTTGAAACAGTTTAGTGTGGTAAAGCTTCTCTAAACTTTTCAAATACATCTACAAAGTGCTAGCTGGAAAATCAACTAAATCTCCTCAATTTTCCAAAACTCTAAAGAACAAATACGTGAGCTTTGAATATGGGGCTTAAGAATAACTAATGGGGCTTCCATTAAACCCTACTTTGATCATCATATGCATAAGGTTGATGGCACATTAGTTAACACATCAGTCCTTTAAGTCTTTGTAGAAAACTTTCAAAATTGTCTAGAACCATAATTAGAAAAAATTGGGTTTGTGGTGTCAATTCCCCCATCTTTCTTGGCTTCTTGTAAGGAACAAAAAAATTAGAGAATAAAAGTACAATAATATTCATCCGGGTTAACTCGATTGACTCAATTCTTAAGAATGCAAGAATGCACAAAGTTCTACAACTTGTGGATGATGAACCACTAGTCGAGCTTCGAAGTCATCCATAAACTTGAGCTTTCTACTGCTCCTACTCATCTATCAACGAGCCTCGACAAGTCACAAAAAAGGACAAGTACCACTTAAGTACTAGAACTCAAACATTAAATTCATCCAAGTGACTTCAGAAGTCACCAGACTAGAAGGCGCCCCTCATCAACTTATTTACTTATCCAGGTTATTCACCCTCAAAACTGATGTTCCCACTAGAATTTGGAGGCACTTTCCCTCTTGTTACAATTATCACACAATTTTCATCTAGTGAACAACTGCTAGCTTGATTTATTCACAACAAAAGATGCAATACTGAGATAATATATGCACTGTTATTGTTATTTTTTGGACAATATTTCACCACAGCTTACCATACATCACACCAATAAATAGAATCAAGGATCGAGCATGGACACAACATATCAAAGGACCTCATTCTATACTTTTTTTCACAAAACTATTGCTCTCGCTCCTCATAGTTTCTCTTTCTAGAATTACCTAATTCACAATTAAGCAGACAGATTCCATAAACGATAGTTTCTAACAGCTGTTAAATATGTAAATACATAAGAATGAGTGGTATCTCTGTTTTTCCCTCTAACTTCCTCAGGTTCAATCCTAGCATGTAATAAGATCTTGTTCTGATGTTTACAACATCCCATAAATAAAAAGCATAATTTTTACAAAAGATAAGAAGCTCGTGTATTGAAGAAAAATTGCAGTCCAACTACATGTACTGAATAGAAGGCAGAAATCAGAAAAAAAAAAACCTAGCTGAAAACAAGAAAACAATGAACTTTTCATCAACCGCAATTATAAAGCTGAACAAAATAGTGGAAGATCATAGCAAACCAAGTTTTTCACCGACGGGTAACCTGGTAAACTGCTGGATGTAACCCTTTCTCTCTTTTGAAATATAAAATGTGAAAAAAAAAACAAGAAGACAACTTCATCCTGTATAAATTAAGCGGACACTACCTGATTTCTCTAAGCTGGGAAAAGAGCTGGAATGAATAGATATTGTCATCGTCGGCGAAGTAGACAATGCCATCGAGATGATGGTTCTCGATATGCTCGAGAGCGGTGTTGCGCTGATACACGCCCCGATCCTTCACATCCTTGAAGCTCCTCTTGCATACGAGATGACGATACATAACACCCGTTTTGCGTAGCACTTCCGCAGTTTCATCAGAAGCGGATTCCATCTCAACCACTATCCAAACAAGCGGCGGAGGAACGAGCCGAAGCGTCTGGCCAAGGCGGTGGAGATAGTAGTACTGGAGTGCACGGTTGTAGGTGGGGGTGACAATGATGAGAAGCTTGGAACCAGTCGCCGGTATAGCCGCACCCGATTGTGCGCTTGGTGGGCTGAAAATGGTACCGAGTTCCCTTCGGGCAGATGAGATCTCAGAACGGAAAAGAAGTGGGTGCTGTTTTGCAGGCCGGATAGTAGAAAATTGGTAACTGTCAAAACCGGGATCGGAAAAGGGGGAAATGGCGAGGAGGAATCCTAAGAGGAAGAACAAAAAGAAGCGGAGGATGGAGCGCTTGCAGTAGCTCCAGGAAAGCGGCGGCCGCCAAAGCTTGCGGGGTGTTTCGGGAGGAAGAACTCCAATCCCAAGAGATCTTTGCGGCGGAAACCGGCAAGAAACGAGAACAACGCCAAACCGCGCCGAAGAGGATGGGAAGGCGAGTAACGAGGGGAAGAATGCTCCCTGTGATCTTTGTCTTTCATTTCAATGGTGGAGGGCTCGGGAAGAAGTCGATCGTAGTTGTGCTGGTGCGGCGATAAGATAGTGCGCCTGATAGAGAGCATCGTAACTCAGCCGTTCGTTACTGAAAGCTCCTCCAATTCCAGGCGATCGGCGGCGGGAGCTTTGGCCGGAGGAGGTTGAAAAAAGAAAGGGCTGAAAATCAATGGAAGCCGCGAGTTGCGGCAATGACTGCGCGAAGCAGATCTACAGCCATTCGGCGCTTTTCTTGCAGAATATCGCATTTCAGTCGAAGAATTTTAAAAATAAATTACATTTTTAACATTAATTCACATTAAAAGTTATTTTAGAATAAATTTGTAAAAACGTCAAAAAAAAATCGCAATCTCGCCCCCCCGAAACTTATTAGATCACAACTCTCCACTATGGAGTACAATCTATTTTTAACATTCATTCACATTAAAGGTTATTTTAGAATAAATTTGTTAAAACGTCAAAAAATCGCAATCTCGCCCCCGGAAATTTATTAGATCACAACTCTCCACTATGGAGTACAATCTCGTGCTGACACATACTTATATAAAAAATAATAAAAATAAAAACACGCTACTCGGCATGATCGATGTGTTACAGAGTCTAATCATATATTTTTTACGTTATTTATCTTTGTCGTCGTGTTATAGTTATATAAAAAATAATAAAAATAAAAACACGCTACCCGGCATTATCGATGTGTTACAGAGTCTAAGAATATATTTTTTTACGTTATTTATCTTTGTCGTCGTGTTATAGGTATATTTTCTTGTGTTATTCTGAATAACACATCAATAATAAATGAATAACATATCAAAACGTGAAAAATATTCAGAATAACACTAGGAATATTATTATGCGATTAAATATTCCTATAACGTATCGATATGATCGGGACATGCGTTTGCTTTATTTTTTTCATTTTTATGTAAGTAGGACGTAATTTCACGTGTCAGCGTGAGATTGGACTCAACAAACAGCTCTGCATGCGTGAGTCTTGATGTAATAATTTTTCTATTTTTTAATAGCACATAATATCACACTAATAACATATAGTAACACAATTATACGCTTTATAGACCGCGGTGTAACACTTGGAGAATATTTCATGTGTGTTATACCGCGGGTTATAACACTGCCCCACATATTATACAACCGTCCTATAACACTCCCATAGCCCGCGGTATAACACGCATGGAATATTCCCCACGTGTTATACCGCGGGCTAGAGAGTGTATAATTGTGTTATTATGTGTTATTAGTGTATTATTATGTGTTATTATGTGCTATTAGTGAGAGAATATTTCTACACTCTCAATAACACATCAAGAATACTTGAATAACGCGGAAAATATTCAGAATTACACGGGAGGAATATTTTTATGCGATGGAATATTTCTATAACACATCGGTCGGGCCGGTTATTGCGTTTTAATTATTTTTTTCATTTTTTATGTAGGTAGGCCGGCCTTCCACGTGTCAACGCGAAATTGGACTTCGCAAGCGTCCTGATGTAATAATTTTACTGATTGCGGGCGGGTGATTTTATAATAATTATATCTTCTTTTGAATAAAAAAGAGCGGCGTTTACATTCATAACACGCAAATTATATCATGCATTTACATATCAAACATTTTATCATTTATATTTACTTGCATCATTTAAATTTATAATATCACATAAAAAATAATAATGATATTAATTTTTTAAAAATGAAATACACATTTTCAAACATAAATTTATGATTACAAATGTTAGGATTGTAAATTTCAAACTTTAGGTGATAGATATGCAAATACATAGGACTTGTGTGGTATGTCTGTAAATGTTCTTAAAATATATATATAATAGCTATAAGAGATTAAGAGAATTTTGCCAAATTAAATATATTAAAAATAAATAAAAGAATTTATTTTTATATATATATCGCCCAAAACTTTTATATCACATACACCAGTTTCATGCATGAGCAAGCTATAATGTATATAAAAATTGAGAGTTAGCTGCTAGATATGTAAATACATAAAAAGTTTAGGACTTACTTGCTAGATATATATATTAAGTTTCTATATTTTTGTATTTGGTTTAGGAATGTTTATTAAAGATACTCAAAACAAGATACATTGATTTATATTTTCATGTAATTTTATTTAAGGAGATGTCATTCTAAATGAGTAAGAAAGAAGATGATGGCTGAAATATTTAGAAATTAGATGCTTTGTAATTAATAGAACACATATGGGTTCTCAGAATTTACTTCTTTCCTAAGGAGTTTGTGTTTCCTAGGGTCAAATTTTTCACATATGATACCCACGGAATAACCAATAATCATCTCGACGGGGGTACCCCAATGCATCAAAGTACGTCTAGGTCATAAGGGTAGAGGATAAATCGTCACATCCCAAATGGGCGACAACTCATTGGCATCGGGTCTTCAAGATGATGCTAACGAAGTTAATATGAGTGAAATGACTCAACGGAAGTAGTCAAAAAAAAAGGAGGAGTAATCCCTGAGAGATGGAGGTAGTCGAGTCAAGGTGCCACGGACCAGTCATCTTATGCGATTAAAACTCTAAGCTTGCTTGGTCGTGAAGGTAGTCGACCCAACACGTCTTGAGATCCCCAGTCAGTAACCCATGAATTACATCATCCACGGGGGCCACGGTAACCCTAAGATGAAAGGAAAGAAACTCTGTTATATGACTATAAGCTGGAACTCCAAGAGGTGGGACCTATATCTGACGAAGTCGTAAGAATGCCTTAGGAAAGAAAGAGAGCTGGAGGTTCAACTACAAAGCTGGAAAAGCTTCGAACAAGAGGACTTACACCTTGTCTCGGTCGGGGAGCCTCCTAATGACCCAGGCGCACTAGACATCCTCCTATGTAGAAAAACTTATGTTGGGTCAATCAGATTGAAAAAACATGAGGGCTCCTCCTTGGGACATGCAGATATCTAGAGCTCCTTAATTATTGTGAAGGCCCAATTAATATGACTTGAGTTATGGCTATGCTATGCAACCTATTTTAAATCCGGTCTGAAGGCTATGCAGGAAAGTAAAAGCATGTTTTGAAAATCCTGAATATTTTAATCATAAATTTTAATTTATCACGAATCTTTTATTAGGATTTTTTAAAATAGAAAATTTAATTTAAGATTTCTTAATGATCCTGGATTATAATTTTTTTGGAATCCCAGATGTATAAAAATAAACAATAAAAAGCAATCCAGGCATGCAGACATGCAAATAACTGCACAACAGACCAAACAAAATAATAAAACAGGTCGG